CTCTTATTTGAGGCATTGCATAAGTGCTCTCTGTCAATTGGTTTATTCCTTTCAAGCTTCTTGATAATTGATTGGTTAATTAATTTTTAATTATCTTGTTGATTTTTTCCCAGGGAGTATATTTTGTTTTGGTACATACTGTAGCTTTTATATTGTTGAGATAATTATGTCCAAGCAAGTTCAAGGAGTGAGGCATTCTGATTGTTACTTGGCTACTCTAGATAGGTATCTGAACTATTTCTACTTTAAAAATAGAGGGAGCTTTATATGGCAGTAGTTGAATTTTTACAAAGTTCATGATTTTGGCTTCATGAGTTTTTAATTGAAAGGGAGCATTAAATTAATCTTCCTTTGTTTCAAATCCATTTAATGAATTTTGTATATCTAGTAAAATGTGGTTGCCATTCTATAAAAGCAAACAGGAAACATTCTATGAAACCAAACAAGGAGCAATTAAAACAAACTCTCAAGTTTTTGTGAAATTGGAGTATGAAGGTAGACAACTAGACAATCTGATTTGCCTTTTTATTTGCAACAGCATTTAAACTTAAATAATTGAGTAAGAAATTACACTGCAACAGAATGTTTTAAGACCCTTTTATGTAACTTAATACAATGCTATTTGAGACTGCCAGCAAAGTCTTAAAACTCCTGGACACTGGCTCTCTTCTCTTCTGGCTTCCCTCCTAGTCATGTCTTGGCTACTATCCAGAGCTGACAACTTTCACCCAGGAGTGAAGGGAGATTTGTCTGGTGTAAGAAGGATTTTTGAGCCATCCTAGACTTTCACATCTCCAGATGGGCAAGGAGGCGGGGAGGCGGCGCCATCGTGCATGCGCGGGTGATGTCGTTAGCCATGCGCGCAGTATACTCATTCATTTACTCATCCTGGTGACACCCGGATGCCCTTATTCAGATGTTCCTTATTGGAAACTATAATGTAGCAAGTTCAAGTGTTTTAAAAATTATGTTCAAATTTATGCGTAAGTAATTACTAAACATACCTTTACCTCTCCATTTTCAACTCATATACTGTAGGCCAAGGGGGTTGTGTGTCTTGGCTAATAACATAAAAACACTTAGAACCTGTAAGGCTGAGAATGTGGAAGCTCTGGTGTCGAAGCCTCTGCTCAGATCATTATGCTGAAGCTTTCTGAACGCTGCAGGTTATATTATGACAATTTATTGTCCATAGTGTATTCCTCCTAACGCCCACTGCAATTATTATGCTTTTAAGGATTTTTTTTCATAATCACTAATTATAGATTCTTTCAAGTAAATTCGCCCGGCTTTATCAAAAAGATCATTTGGTGTTAATATTATAATTTGAAAGACCTTTTGACAAGAGTGGTTTTGAGGTATGATTACATCAGTAGACCGTACTCTTTATCAATCTTAGAGGTACAGACATAATCTGTAACACTATTTTAACTTTTTTTAAAAGTATGTACATTTATAACCCAAGTATCTATTATGCTTTTACAAATAACTGAAAGATTATATGAGTCTTCTTTAATTAAAATAAAGTCAGAAACTTTGATGTTGTATAATTTCCAGGGCTTTTTAACCTATAGACATTTTTCTGATACCTTTACAACTTTCACAGTCTGGTTTGCCACATGACACAAACTGTTTTCCAAAACTACTGTGCAGATACTTCAAGAAATTTTTAAAAGCAGAATTAAGTTTATAGTTAATGACCAATATAAACCTATGGAACTTTAAAATATAACAAATGAAATACATGTATATGAGTTTTTGAGATTTGAAATCTGGGCTATACACATCTTTTATATTTGGAATTCATTAGTTTTTTTTCTGCAAAGTGGCAAATAATTTTTTTATCTCCCTCAAACTACCTTAAAAAGACCTATAATGTTGATAATATTACAGGGTGTTAAATGGGTTACCAGTAAATTTTAAGGTTAAATTAAGAAAGGAAACCCTTTCTCAACTAGACAAATATCAGGTTGGCTATGTAAATCCCCAAGACTGCGCTTATCTACTACTAGAATGGAAGACTAATCTCATCCTTAAACCTCATAGTTTCTATTATTCATATAATTGACAAAGCCCTAGTTTTAATATCAATGAAATCCTAAATATCTGAGTTCTCACAAAAACTGACTTATCATTTTAGATTCAGATATTTAGATACAAAGGCTTAGTCTTCTATTTGTAAATAAAAGGAAATCTGACCTTTTGATTAAGAAATATTGTCAGTAGCCTTTTTACGTGCCTGTTCATCTGAGGGTCCGTGAGAGGAGCACTCGTCCCGGTTGAGTTTATCCTAAAATCGAAATGATAAGAGCCTGCTGGCTGTTACCTAAGACTCTTCTTGACGGGAGAGCCACATGGCTATTCTTCATCGCCCCTCGCTCT